GTGTCAAGGACAGAAACGCAGACGTGGCAGTGGAAGGTGTCAAAGCAGTTTGGAGAGAAAAACAAAGTAAAGAACAAAAAAAAAAGAAAATGATTCTATTTTAATAATCGATTAGTCGTCAATTAATCGATTAATCATTGCAGCCCTACTGTAGTTTATTGCTATTTTAAGGCTGAGAATAACTGCAACTCCTCAGACTGAAGAAGTCTCTTGGAGGAGACAAACCTTTTCATTAAAGAACCCATCCAGAGGACCTGCTTATCATTCTTTAAAAACCTGTTTTATTTCTCAGTGTAAGAACAGTGGGCCTGTGACAGACCGAACTGTAACTCATCTGACCACCAGGTGGCGCTGTGGGGAGGTTTCCGTCCTCACAGACTTGAATAAAATCAGTGCTGTTCTAAATAAAGTGTCCTGAACAAAGTATCACTTTCAGTAAAAATGATTATAAATGAGTCGAATGTTTCATTTCTTTCAGCAGTAAGAAAACGTGCTTGGCCACTCTCTCCTCTCATTTCACATTTGTCGGTGGGCGTCAACAAGATCATATGATCATCATTTGAACCAATCATCAAGTCGTATTCACGCCTTTGACGATTTGTGTTGATACGATTGGTTAATTTGTTGTCAGGTGTTSTCTGATTGGTCAAAGGTTTTGTCAGTAGAACCAGAAGGCGGAAGTGCTCTGGTCCTCTCTCAACACCAGTCTTTGCTCCTGCAGCTCGTCAGGTTCAGTCCTGGACTTTTATTCACTCAAAGGTAAACATGTGTAATTTAATCTGGGCTTACTGTTTATACAGTAAAATGACCACACAGAAGTGACATGCAGTTATCTSGGTTCTTCCTGTTTTCATGCTAGGTTAGCTAAGTTTACCTGGAAAACAGGACATATATGTTAAATTTAATTTAAATTGTGTTTGAATGAACAGAACTGAATCTTCTGCTACGTTGTGGGGCTCCTCATTCATTCATTGAAAACTGTGGCCGTGGATTTTTATTTACATTTATTTATTTATTTATTTATTTTTGAGAAAACTTTCGTGTTTGCAAGTTTTCTGCTGTTATTAATCGATATATTTCTTTTATTCGACCCCACTCACTAGCTAACTAACTCATGTATTAAACAGTAATGTGTGTTTGTGGCTGCAGGAACAGTTATGTCACAGTGAAGCTGTTAAAGTCTTTGGGAACATTGTGTAATAACAACCAGGGCAGAAGTCATCCAGCAGAGCCTTGAAGACTCACTCCTCTGTGTTTTAATGCAATGATTTTAAACTTTCTGCTATTACTTCATGAAACTAATCACTACTTTTTAAAAATACCTTAACTTTCCTTTCAGTGTGATATACTGTATTAATGCCACTCTTTTGTGACAAGTAATTTGAAATAATCCAGTTAGAGCTGCAAAGAGCTCTGAGGATTTGCAT